ATCGAAACCCGGATTCTAGCGTTGTAAGTCCGCAGACATACCGCTGTGCCACTGGGGGAGGCATCAAACATAACAGAGAAGACAGAGACGTACTTGAGGAACGGAATACAGTATGGAAATAACTTCGAGATAATTTTTTTTTGTTGTTAGCTGGCAAAATAAGTCGTCTGCAGTAGTTTTTAAAATTCCCTGTCTTAGAGTGTTTATCTTTAAAAATGGTATATATGAAACAATTTGTTGTGTTCGTGCAACCATTCATGCTAGTCGTTTAAAAAGTTCTTCAACCTGCGTTTGGAAAAGATTTTAGTAGTAATTATACTTCAAAGTTGTGTTTTAAAATAAATTGAAAAGCCATGTTAACTTAGAACGCACCTAGCATTCTACAGTTAACTAATGTACACTTCCTACTTCTTGTCAACGATGAAGCAAAGTGAAATAATTTTTGATCTTTTGATCAGTATGTTCGAAAAATCGAATGTGATAATTTTCCGAGTATCATAAAAAATTAAAATGTAGAAATCTTCAACTTTTCTCTATAAAAAATATTTATAAACTTTCTTTTCGAAAGTAGAAATTATAAAATTTCTAAACAATACAATTTTTTGCTCTCGAGCAATAAAGTTACTTAAGATCTATGAAAATTTTGAAGTGTTAAAAATCGTATTTCAAAAAATTATGCATCACTGACTAATCGTAAGATGTTTATTAGATAAAACTTTTTAAACATATAATAAAAATAGAAGAAAAATATCATTTCATAACTAAAGATAAATAGAGCCTTAGACCCCCAGTGGCACAGCGGTATGTCTGCGGACTTACAACGCTAGAAACCGGGTTTCGATACCTGTGGTGGGCAGAGCCCGGATAGCCCATTGTGTAGCTTTGTGCTTAACTTCAAACAGCATAAAACATCCACATAGAGCTTTAACTTGTTTGTTTGACTACTACGGGTAAGTAAAATAAAAAATACTTAACGTTTGTTTCTACACGAAACCTGACAGATTTATAAGCAATGGCCAGGTGGATAAGACGCTCGA